AAGGTACTTTTCTTTGAAAACCCAGTCAAAAATTCTCAATTTCTAGATATGCCTTCCATTTTATAAATGAGACCAAAGAAAACTAAAATACAACAATAAATACCCCCTACAAAAAACAGTGCAAAATCGTGTTTTTTCCCCAAAAAATGGTCAAAGTTTTTTTTTCTCATTTTGCCTGTGTGCTGCAGGGTTTTCTTTATACGTGACATGACCCCATAGACCCCTTTTTTTCATATGAAAAGGCTCCGCTTTTTCTCCCACTAATTTTAGGGCGTAGAAATTTTGGCATACTATACTCAAAAACCCTGGGTCGTAAGCCGTAATTTTACGTTCAAAACCCTCAAAGGGTTAATATAAAAATATTATTTATAGTTATTTATTATAAAAAGCACGTAAACCCACAAGGGTCATGAATTTCTTACATATAGTAAAGGCAAACAAAAAGAGTATTTTTTCTAAGTTACCCCCAGGGTTTGGACTAAGAAAACATAATTCTTCCGACACTACCTACACAGCTGCTTTGTAAACAAATTCTCATATTTACAGTCAATTTTTAATCTGATATATGTAGTCATGTTTATATGCTATGTAATGGTTTCATATATAATTTTGAGGAAAATATCATAGATGGATTAATGAAAATGCTATACACATTGAATGTGAAATAAGACGTTTAGTTCCCCAAGAGTGATTATTATTACGTAGCATTGGCGTCATGAGTAGAAGAGAGACTTAGCGATTTTAATGCGACCTGCACACCAGCACAGTGTGTAAGTATATTTTAGGTACAATGGTACACTTAAGTATTATATCAGAGCACATAATAAAAAATGCAGTAACTTTTTAAAACACTTGAAAATTTGAAAGTTTCCCTACATAATAGATGAGGTCTACGAAAATGTTAAACAAACCAGGTGGGCACCGTATTTAAAAGACCGCTTGCCGTATAGCAAATTTTGGTCCATAATTTTGACATCGCCATATTTAGCTGAACGCGTAAAGCGGGCCTTACTGTATAGTGTTCCTTTTGAGTTCTTCATTCTTTTCCATACCTAAGCAGCTGGAACTCATACCATTGAACGGTCATGTTCTCCAACGCCCACGTGGGAAAACCCTGTTTATTTCTTCCTGTACTTTTTCAGTTTCCTCTACCGGTAGTGACATTCAGCTTATTTTTAGTGTCCTGCAAATAATGAAAGGATTAATTTGATCCAGAGAGTGACGAAATGTGAAATCATCAGAACTTAAACCATTTTCCCCATAAGAAATAATGTAAATCCAATTAATCTGTTTCAGATAATCCAAAAGTATAAACCAAAAATGCATTTTATAGAGAAGAACTATATTCCACCGCTTATTTATCTATCACAATTCATCTAATATGACATAATAAACAATATTAATAACATATAAACAAACACAGTGGACCCTCGCCTAACGACGTGCATCGCATAATAACGTAAATCCGCCTAGTCGATACATTTTAAAACTCAAAAGTTTGCCTCGGCAAGCGCTCAAAAACACGCTCCAAACGCGATTCGTTCGAGACGCGTCCATGTGCGGCTGAGCCCGCCTCACTTGTTCCTGTGGGTGCCAAGTGTTTACAAGCCAGCCAACCAGAAGGTCACATCCAAGCATACAATCGGAACATTTCATATTATCACAGCCTTTTTAGTGATTGCACCTGCAAAATAAGTCACCATGGGCCCCAAGAAAGCTTCTAGTGCCAACCCTTCAGGGAAAAGGGTGAGAATTACTATGGACATGAAGAAAGAGATCATTGCTAAGTATGAAAGTGGAGTGCGTGTCTCTGAGCTGGCCAGGTTGTACACAAAACCCCGTGACCAAGAACACGGCAATCAAGGAAGCTGTTCTTGCCAAAGGTGAAACTTTGTTTTTGAAACAGAGATCGCAAGTGATAGAAGATGTTGAGAGACTGTTATTGGTGTGGATAAACGAAAAACAGATAGCAGGAGATAGCAATACTCTCAGAGTCATCATATGTGAAATGCTAGGAAGTTGCATGATGATTTAATTGGAAAAATGCCTGCAACTAGTGGTGATGTGAGTGAATTTAAGGCCAGCAAAGGTTGGTTTGAGAGATTTAAGAATTACACTGACTATTACACTGACAATGTTGTGAAACACTTTAGGAATGTCATAAAGGAACTGGAGGTACAGGCCTCTATGGACAGATAGTGCGTGACAGAAGGTCCAGGACTCTCAAGCTGGTCCTAGTGGCATTAAAAGAAGAAGGTGAAGTAAAACCCCAGAAAAGGACTTGCCACCTCAAGTCCTAATGAAGGATTCCCCATCTAAACATTTAAGCACCACCGCACCGTCCCCTCCTCCCATCCCATCAATCATCAACCAGACTTCAATAAAGGTAAGTGTCATGAACGTGCTATGTCTTCATTTTGTTTGTAATTAAAAATTAATATTTCATGTGAAATTTTTTTTTTTTCATACTTTTGGTGTGTCAGGAACGATAATTTGATTTCCATTATACAAACAATTTCTTATGGGGAAAAAATTAAATTCCGCCTAAAGATAATTTCGCCAAACATTGACCTCTCAGGAACGGATTACTATCGTTAGGCGAGAGTCCACTGTATATAACTTTAGAATGAATATAATATGTCCATTACGTATGTTAGGATTGATGTTGGTGTGTATTGGTATATAAGGTCCCACTAGAGAAACCATACATATTATGGTAGTGTAGGCCACAGCAGAAGCCAACCAACACTAATCCCCACAAACAATGTCAAAATATTATAAATAAGAAATATTCACACTCATAAAAAAGAACTATTTTACCCTTATTGTCCCTTGAATGCTGGCGTTGGTTTAGGGAGGTGAAAAGATAGGCCGGGGCCGGCGTATGTTTTCAGTGACCCTATATACCTCCAAAACATTGGGTGGATTCATTTTCGAGTTGTTCTTTTTTCCTGTTGCTTAAAACTCTTTCAGGGTCCGTGCCGTAGTTCTACGCTTTGGAGTTTCTGGTCCAAACCGTATTTCTACGCCATGAGCTCAGCTCACTCAGATAAGCTGTGAGCAGTAAATTTGGGCTTAGATATGATAGAATACATCTATATGGTAATGTGTACCACATAAAACACATTAGCACAACAGTGCATAATGAGGAAAAAAATGAGACAGTAAAATATTCAATTAAAACAGCGACCTTAGGGTGTTTAATTGTAGGTTTTTTTATAGTTGTATTTGCGATTTCTTGTCCTTCTTTTGATAGAATGAAGATATATTACAGAAAAGATATGATTTTGATTGGTTTATACTGAAATATGGCTTTGAAACTGAGGCTCAAAAAGCAAAATGTTAAATTTTTTGCCAGTGTTCAAGAGTAAACAAATCACATCACTCATTCAATAGATGTCAGCTGGTGGGTCTTATGTGCATTCACAAATGCGCTGATATCATTTAACAATTATTACAATATTGCATAACAGTAAATCTTCTATTTTTTGGTTTGAATAAAAATTCATTATATGAATAAAAAATTAAAATGGAATTCATTTGTAAAGCCTAAAAATGTAACTGATGAACAGAGGAAATGTTAATTTAGTGCCAGGAATGACTGCATTGTTTATTCTGGACCCTATTTTGAAATGGGAATATTTTGAACTTTGGTGTTAAATTGGCCAAATTTCGAATTTCCAATCACTTTATTGGGTAGTTGAAACAGTTGACTTGGTGATTTCTTGTGCTCAGTTGATAAAATAGAAGTAGTCCCAGTGAAGTGGCTAAGAATTTGGTCAACTGGAATAATGTAATTTACTCATCGCAAATCGGCGATGCATAAATATCACTGACACGATCAAAATTCGTGAGAGTGTAATTTTGTGAATTTTCCATCAAATTTCGTACTTTTTGTTTTATTACCTTCAGAAAAAAATTCTCTACCATTTCATAAGAAAAAATAGCATTTTTTTTTTTGAAATTCTTGGACCCTGTGGACACATCTCAGATTTTGGGTCTGGACCCTGAAAGGGTTAATTGCTTAACTTATTTGCTACACTGTTATTGCTACATTTTATTGCTAGCTGGCATTATAGCCTTTGTCGACTCCTGCTGCTTTAGCATCGCTCATATCGTAGAATCACTGAAGAAGGCACATTCTCCCCTCTCTCTTCCTTCTCCACTTTGATACTTTGCTACAAGTTTTTTCTTGAATTCTATTGTTTTTTTCATTTTCTCTCTCTCAAGGGGCTGGCACTAGCAGCTTTCTTTGGGCCCATGGTGGCTTATTTAGCAGTCACACAGAATAAAAGGTGCAAAAAACAATGAATTTTTACGAAATGTTTCCTATGGCCTTACAAGATAATGTTCACTCACAGAGAAACAAAGCGACACTGCCTCAGAATGCGTGTGTGGGAAACTTTGTGTGTGTGCGGCTCTCAGACAGGTACTGTACCACCAATGAGAGTGGAGGAAAGTAACGAAAACTGAGCCAATATTTTTACAAAAAAAGTCGGCGATAACTGAAATTCACGAAAACAGAGCCCACCAAAAAGGGAGGGTCCACTGTCTAGGTTTTAAGCAGCTTAAAAAATTATTTATTCTCCTACTTCAGATTTTGAGTGAGAAGTCTACCAATTTAAGTGCCTTTTTAAACAATTTTTTTTCATATTGATTTAAAAATGGGTGATGACTTTATACACTTACTAATGCTAAACTCATTTCCTGACGTGATTTCTGGTATTTTTTTCACCGCATCTCTCTTTAAACTTTCCTTTCCTATCCTCCCATCCTCTTCCCCTTTGCCGTTCTTCACTGACTTGTCTTCTGCTTTACTCTCTAGTGTCTCACTCACTTTTGACTTAATGGTTCAGTATGGGTTGTTTGTGAATCACTTTTTCTAAGATAACATTAATTAATGTTCCTCTGTTACCATTGAGATTCTACAAATCCATTTTTTTATCACTTAATTTAGATAGATTTTTAATTCATTATTCTTGCATGCTTTCTATTCATAGGTGTACACTGAAGCGTGAACTGCCTGCAATTCCCCTTAGTGCTCAGCCTGATCCTTCATCAGTCGAGTGTAATGTAGAACGCACACAATCACAGCACTCCTCAGATCTTTATGCAGCTGTAGGGGAAGCCAATGATGGTCAGTGGATTTACAAAATCTTTTGTTTTTTGCTCTTTTAAATATCCATTGGCATAGCAGATATGCCACTGAAGAAGGAACTAAACTCTGTTGTTCTGCTTCTGTAGATTTTTTAGATTGTGCTGAGAATTGTATTGCTTTTTTTTTTTATCCATCTACCCCTATTGATTGCTTTTGTGACACACTGTATATTGAATAATCTATATTTTGGGGGAAGGGGCCCTGTTAACTGGTTTCCCTGAGTCCGTTCATAGATACTTGAATAAGATAATACAGTAAAACCTTGTATAATGTGAGGGTTACATATTTGAACATTAGTTCGTGACAAGATGAAGTCATAAATATATAGAAAAAGCACTTGCTAAATTTACCTCCCCTTTTTTTCACTATTGTTCTGTACTACTAAAAATAACTGCAGTATAATTTCCTCTGTTAGTTCTTTCTTGAAGCTTTTTAAAAACTATGAGGGTATATTAATGTGGGTCTACTAAGCCCAGTTGGATGAAACTGAGGTGGCTAAATCACATCACACTTCCAATACACATCAGCTTGGTGGGTCTAATGTGTGTTCATGAATCACTGATATTATTTATACAATTACAGTGGCACCTCGAGTTTCGAACAGCTCCCGACTCGAACAATTTGCAAGTGTACTTTTGTAAGTGCTTTGTAAGTGTATTTTTGGGGTCTGAAACATACTAGTCTAATTTACATTATTCCTTATGGGAACAAATTCGTTCGGTATCAGCAATCGAACAACCTTCTGGAATGAATTAAGTTCGTAACTCGAGGTACCACTGTATTACAATATTGCATAACAGTAAATCTTCTATTTTTTAGTGTAAATATAAATTTTTTATGTGAATAAAAAATCAAAATGGAATTAATCTGTAAAGTAAGGAAACATAACTAATTAACAGGATTTTTGTGTGTGTCAGGAATGCCTGCATTGTTTATTCTGGACCCTGTTTTGAAATTGGAATATTTTGAACTTTGTGTGAAATTGACCAAATTACTAATTTCTGATCACTTTATTGAGTAGTTGAAATAGTTGATTGGGCAGTCTCTTGTGCTCAGTAGATAAAATGGAACACATACTAGTGAAATAGCTAAGAATTTGGTCTAATGGAACTAAGTAATTGACCAAAAATAGGACTCAAAGTGGGCAAAAATCGCAGATGCGTAACTATGACTGACACAGCAAAATTTGAAAGAGTGTAATTTCCTCAGGTTTTGGTCAAATCTCAATTTTTTTTTCATTACCTTCAGAAAAATATTCTCTACCATTTCATAAGAAAAAATATTTTTTTTTTTTTTTTTAATTCTTAGAGCCTGTGGGGAATTTTCAGATTGGGGATCTGGACCCTCAAAGGGCTAAGGTCGTTTTCAAACTAAAGCCGGACTTGAGTCCTGGAAATGGGCAATACAATTCCTGCACTTTGAAAGGGGGGAGGATATTGGCAGTTTGGAGGGACATATAAACTGTCGTATCTGAGAGCCTTTGCAAAAACAGTGAGTATGTATGAGTGATGGTGAAAGTGTTGAATGATAATGAAAGTTTTTTCTTTCTTTTTTGGGTCACCCTTCCTTGGTGGGAAATGGCCGATGTGTTAAAAAAAAAAAATGTGTAAAGGTGGGAAGTTGAAGGCGAACATAGATAAGAGTAAGGTGATGAGAGTATCAAACGAGTTAGGTAATGAAAAATTGGATATCAGATTAGAGGAAGTGAATGTGTTCAGATATTTGGGAATGGGCATGTCACCGGATGGGCATGTGAAAGACGAGGTAAACCATAGAATTGTTGAAGGGAAAAAGATGGTGGTGTATAGAGGCATCTGTGGAGACAAAGAATATTAACCAGGGAGGCAAAGAAGGGAATGTATAGAGTATAGTGGTACCAACACACTTATATTGATGTGAAACGTGAATTGTGAACGTTGCAGCAAGGAGTAGGGTGGAGGCAGTGGAGATGTTGTGTTTGAGGGCAATGTGTGGTGTAAATATTATTCAAAGAATTCGTAGCTGGGAGATTAGGAGGAGGTGTGAAGTTACTAAAAGTATTATCCAGAGGTTTATGAGGAGGAGATGTTGAGGTGGAGCAATATTGGATGGCTTGGAGGGTGTATAAATCTATAGTGGGGTAAGGCGGGTAGGGGTTACTCTTGAAAGGTTGGAGGAAGGGGTTAAGGAGGTTGTGTGTGTGACAGGCTTGGACATCCAGCAGGTATATGTGAATGTGTTAGATACGAATGAGTGGAGGAAAACGGTTTTTGGGACTTGGAGTGTGAGCAAGGCAACATTCGTTAAGGAATTCAGGAAAAGTGGTTAGCCGGACTTAAGTTCTGGAAATAGGAAGTACAGTACCTGCACCCTGAAAGAGGGTAGAGATATCTGCAGTTTGGAGAAGTATCTGAACTGTAGTATCTGTGTGCCTGTACAAAACAGTGATGAAGTGAATGATGGTGAAAGTGTTTACACTATCATATATTAAGCGAGCTATAGAGCTAGGTCTAAAAAATGCATATACAGTACACACATTACTTGCCTTAAAATAATTTTGTCTTTAGCTTATAGTGAGTTGTGAATATATTCATTGTAGGAAGTTGGAATATATGAAGAATGGGTGTAATTGAAAACTGCTGCATTAGTGAAGTGCTGTAAAGTGGGGCCTGCCTGTACTCCCATACATTTTAAGAGGACACAAAATTGGGCTAATTATAATTAAAAAATGTAGCCGGTGTTATAATTTAATTAAATAGTGAAATACTTGATTTCTGAAAAAATTTTTAATAATATTTACTTGGATTTCAGCTGGTGGAAGTGGCATAGGAAAAGTTATTGGAGGGGTTCAGGTTCTTCCTGCTGGTGCTATAGGACCTGATGGTCGAGCAGCTATCATCCGGGACCCAGCACATACATCACCAACAGACACTTCTGCTGCTCCACCACACACAGATAGTACTGCAGTATCAGGGATAGGGACTGCAGCTCACCCATATGCCAAAGTGAAGAAGAATCATCCATATGCTCATGTCAAACTACCAAAGAGTAAGCTTCAAATGCTTTATTAATAAGTCTCAAATAAAGTGTCTAAGAAATGTTGAAATATGAATCCTCATTACTACCTTATTTCTCATTTCCATGGGGTTGGAAGACACTTGCTCTGAAAAAAACTGAGAGAGAGTAAGAGTTGTATTAAGAACTAAGTTTCCTCCATGCTAAAGCAGTTTTGGGTTGTATAGTTAATTAGATGTCAGATGTACCATCTTCAGCTTCTCCTTCAACTAGGACACATTTTCCCACTCATTACAGTTCATTGATTTCTACCCCAAACTAAGCCTTTACAAAATTTAAGCTGGGTAAAGTTAGGTTAACATAAATTAACCTACATTAATTTATACAAAAGTTTACCAATAATACTTCATTTTTCCACTAGACATAAACTACCTCATTCCAAGTTTCATTTTTTGTAATTTCTAGATAATTTTTATTTTTTTTTTATTTATTATCACACTGGCCGATTCCCACCAAGGCAGGGTGGCCCGAAAAAGAAAAACTTTCACCATCATTCACTCCATCACTGTCTTGCCAGAAGGGTGCTTTACACTACAGTTTTTAAACTGCAACATTAACACCCCTCCTTCAGAGTGCAGGCACTGTACTTCCCATCTCCAGAACTCAAGTCCGGCCTGCCGGTTTCCCTGAATCCCTTCATAAATGTTACTTTGCTCACACTCCAACAGCACGTCAAGTATTAAAAACCATTTGTCTCCATTCACTCCTATCAAACACGCTCACGCATGCCTACTGGAAGTCCAAGCCCCTCGCACACAAAACCTCCTTTACCCCCTCCCTCCAACCTTTCCTAGGACGACCCCTACCCCGCCTCCTTCCACTACAGACTGATACACTCTTGAAGTCATTCTGTTTCGCTCCATTCTCTCTACATGTCCGAAACCACCTCAACAACCCTTCCTCAGCCCTCTGGACAACAGTTTTGGTAATCCCGCACCTCCTCCTAACTTCCAAACTAATGAATTCTCTGCATTATATTCGCACACACATTGCCCTCAGACATGACATCTCCACTGCCTCCAGCCTTCTCCTCGCTGCAACATTCATCACCCACGCTCACACCCATATAAGAGCGTTGGTAAAACTATACTCTCATACATTCCCCTCTTTGCTCCAAGGACAAAGTTCTTTGTCTCCACAGACTCCTAAGTGCACCACTCACTCTTTTTCCCTCATCAATTCTATGATTCACCTCATCTTCATAGACCCATCTGCTGACACGTCCCACTCCCAAATATCTGAATACGTTCACCTCCTCCATACTCTCTCCCTCAGTCTGATATCCAATCTTTCATCACCTAATCTTTTTGTTATCCTCCATAACCTTACTCTTTCCTGTATTCACCTTTAATTTTCTTCTTTTGCACACCCTCCCAAATTCATCCACCAATCTCTGCAACTTCTCTTCAGAATCTCCCAAGAGCACAGTGTCATCAGCAAAGAGCAGCTGTGACAACTCCCCCTTTGTGTGTGATTCTTTATCTTTTAACTCCACGCCTCTTGCCAAGACCCTCGCATTTACTTCTCTTACAACCCCATCTATAGATATATTAAACAACCACGGTGACATCACACATCCTTGTCTAAGGCCTACTTTTAACTGGGAAAAAATTTCCCTCTTTCCTACATACTCTAACTTGAGCCTCACTATCCTCGTAAAAACTCTTCACGCTTTCAGTAACCTACCTCCTACACCATACACTTGCAACATCTGCCACATTGCCCCCCTATCCACCCTGTCATATGCCTTTTCCAAATCCATAAATGCACAAAGACCTCTTTAGCCTTATCTAAATACTGTTCACTTATATGTTCACTGTAAAACACCTGGTCCACACACCCCCTACCTTTCCTAAAGCCTCCTTGTTCATCTGCTATCCTATTCTCCGTCTTACTCTTAAATTCTTTCAATTATAACTCTACCATACACTTTACCAGGTATACTCAACAGACTTATCCCCCTATAATTTTTGCACTCTCTTTTATCCCCTTTGCCTTTATACAAAGGAACTATGCATGCTCTCTGCCAATCCCTAGGTACCTTACCCTCTTCTATACATTTATTAAATAATTGCACCAACCACTCCAAAACTATATCCCCACCTGCTTTTAACATTTCTATCTTTATCCCATCAATCCCGGCTGCCTTACCCCCTTTCATTTTACCTACTGCCTCACGAACTTCCCCCACACTCACAACTGGCTCTTCCTCACTCCTACAAGATGTTATTCCTCCTTGCCCTATACACGAAATCACAGCTTCCCTATCTTCAACATTTAACAATTCCTCAAAATATTCCCTCCATCTTCCCAATACCTCTAACTCTCCATTTAATAACTCTCCTCTCCTATTTTTAACTGACAAATCCATTTGTTCTCTAGGCTTTCTTAACTTGTTAATCTCACTCCAAAACTTTTTCTTATTTTCAACAAAATTTGTTGATAACATCTCACCCACTCTCCATTTGCTTCTTTTTACATTGCTTCACCACTCTCTTAACCTCTCCTTTTTCTCCATATACTCTTCCTTCCTTGCATCACTTCTACTTTGTAAAAACTTCTCATATGCTAACTTTTCTCCCTTACTACTCTCTTTACATCATCATTCCACCAATCGCTCCTCTTCCCTCCTGCACCCACTTCCTGTAACCACAAACTTCTGCTGAACACTCTAACACTACATTTTTAAACCTACCCCATACCTCTTCAAACCCCATTGCCTATGCTCTCATTAGCCCATCTACTCCCAATAGCTGTTTTATATCTTACCCTAACTGCCTCCTCTTTTAGTTTATAAACCTTCACCTCTCTCTTCCCTGATGCTTCTATTCTCCTTGTATCCCATCTACCTTTTACTCTCAGTGTAGCTACAACTAGAAAGTGATCTGATATATCTGTGGCCCCTCTATAAACATGTACATCCTGAAGTCTACTCAACAGTCTTTTATCTACCAATACATAATCCAACAAACTACTGTCATTTTGCCCTACATCATATCTTGTATACTTATTTATCCTCTTTTTCTTAAAATATGTATTACCTATAACTAAACCCCTTTCTATACAAAGTTCAATCAAAGGGCTCCCATTATCATTTACACCATATTTATTTATAAATATGGAGATGTGCAAATACCTGTACTTATTATTTTCAGAGGATCATCCATATGCAAAGGTAGTCCGTGATGATTCTGAGGATCCAGAAACGGACACTGATAATTACGATGATCCTAAAGCCATTACCAAAGACAAGAGGTTAGTGATGACTTTCATTTGCTAGTATTAAAGGCATGTTGTACCTTACCTTATGTTTACCTTAAGATGGTTCTGGCGGTGATCGACCTCGCAATCCAGTCTCAGACCAGACATCACAGTTGATGGCCTGATTAGCTATCTTCAAGGTAGATAGAGAATTTTAGACCAAGGCATAATTAGTCTTGAATATATGCAGTTTATAACTCAAACTAGGCATAGCAAAATGCAAATTTGTACAGCCTTAAGTTTCCCTTTTCACATACAGCCTCTCCTCACTTAGCGACGAACTCATTTACCGACTACTTGGACTTACGACAAGCTCTTTGACCAATTTGCATGCCTAAGTAATGTATATTAGAGCAGATTTCTTCTATTCTGTTTATTACAATATACAGTACACTATTGTATAAACATTTAAAATTATACTGAAAATGTTATAAATGGTGCAAAGGTGACATGAAAGCAGTATCAAAGATGGTTGACACAAACCCACTACCATTATAGTATGCTCCTTGCTTAGCAACGAATTCGTTTACTGACGTGGTCCTAGGAACGGAACTCCGTCGTTAAGTGAGGAGAGGCTTTATAGTCAAATTATGTTTTGAACAATACCATTTACTGTTTTTTACCTGCTTTATTTTAAATTATCAAAACATTCTGATAAAATAGCATTTTTTTTTTAATTGTTTTGAATGGTAAAATATCAATAAATCTGACAGAATTGTAAAAAAGACAATTTTTCTATTTCAAACCGAGCAAAAATCAGCGATAGTAACTGATATGCACTCCGTGGTTTGAAGTCCATTTAACATTTAATTATGTTACAAATACCATATATGACCTATCAAAATGTCTGAAAATTGAGTGTGTGTAAGTGTAAAATGTATACAGCATCCAGTGGACAAGCAGTATAATTTAATTAAAGGTTTTTCAGGATCCTTATTGGAATTAAATTAATACAGTATATTGATAATGATTTAACCTTTAACCCTTTCTGTTTCAGGCCCCTCTTTGAAACTGTCATTCTATGTCGCCAAATATTCAAAAAAAAAAAATAATTTTTTCTTATGAAAATGTTAGGAATATTTTTGTGAGTGTTTTAAGCCTAAAAAAATTTTTTTGCCATCAGTACTTACCGAGATATAGAGCCGCAAAGTTTGCAGAAAGTGACGTGCGTACGGCAACAGCGGCGACTGCCGCCCACCCGGTATTCTTTTATTTACTCTAATTCAAAGGTTTCTTGCATTTTTCAATATTTTTCTGTTCCAGGTAACTTATGTGGCCTGTGAGACCAATGTAAGGCACATTCTTCAAATATGCACTCATTGTTTACAACACAATAACAGAACAAACTTTACCACTTAGTTTGTGTATACACTTTGTTTACACAAACAAACAATACAAAACAATGTTTATTACTATTGTTCCATAATATATATACAATGTACAGTCACTAAACACTTTCTAGAACTGTTTGCAGCTTGTGGAACTCTTTGAAACATGGGTATATGCAGAGGGCACTTCACACTCCTCACACATAAAACGAGTGTCTCTGCGTGTTTGTGGGTGTTTTTTTGGATCCATACATACATAACCCTCTTCTGAGCTTTTTTTCTTGCAGTAGTAGGAAGCAGTTGTTTTGGGGTTTAGTGACACCAGGCCTGAAACGAGATGACGTGTGGGGGCCCGCTGGTCTTTTGCAGGAGTTGCTCCTTGGTACTTTGCAATTATTTTGTCTGATTACTGACAGGCAAAATTCCCCATTTTTTTGGTGTTTTGTTGGTCTTCAACTTGTATATTTTTATAAGCATTTAGCATAGAGATATCAACAAGATGGAAAAAAAGTTTTATATACCACTTATAACTCTTGCGTACACAGTCTGCAAACCCAATCTGCATGTCACATTTGTCCACTGAGCGCATATTGAGGTTGTAGTCCATGACAGCTGCAGGCTTTAGAATGGATTCATTGGTGTCTCTGTTGTGCCTGCCACTGTGTACCATTTCATTTCTGTGAACTGATGTCAACAATGTGACATCACGTTTGTCATGCCACCGAAATGCCATGATGTCATTGGCAGCAAAGGCTTGCACCTCACCTCTGCGAGTGCCAGCGTCGAACCTTGGCATATGTTTACCGATTGCAACGCACTGACCCCACACGTCTGTCAAGTTCACTTGCAAGAAATCACTGATAAGGGGCTTGTGTACCAGTTATCAGTAAATAACATATGCCCCTTACCAAGATTTTGGTTCCCTCATTGTTCGAACCACATCACCAAGATACCCAATAACTTCATGGTTTTCTCCAAAGTATTACTGCCAGTGTACACAATGATATCCAAAACTTTTAAACCCCTTCTGCAATCACACAGTACAAATAGCTTTATACCAAAGCGTTTCCTCTTGCTTGGTATATATTGCTTGAATGAGAGCCTTCCTTTGAATAAAAACAAGGACTCATCAATAACAAGCTTCCTGAAGGGGTAAAAATACATGCAGCACTTTTGTTTCAGGTATATAAACACATTTCTGATCTTATATAACCTGTCGCTTCTATCAGGCCTGGTTTGTCTGAAAAGTTGTAACATACGTACAGTATCAGGAAATGATTGACACCTATAATGTCACTAAAACCTGAGTTGAAATCAGGCTTCTGTTGCCCAGTATGTGGTGACAGTGTGCTTATACACATGTGGCATAAGCATTATGTGGCAAAAAACAGGTACATCTCTGCCACAGTTGTCTCCTTCCACTTGTGTAGCCGTGATTTTGGTGAGAGAATTATATTTGCCATGGTGTAATCACAGTAGTGTTTGTTTCCCTGACAATGATGTCCATCAGGGGTTCATCGAAGAATAACTCAAAGCAGTCCAGTTCACTGGGATTGTTCCCAAGTGGACAAGAGGGTTTATTCCACTTTGTGTTTTCATCAAAGTCATGGGACTGAAACAAACTCGTCCACCGTCCTGCCAATCCCCGATGCGGTCTGCTGGTGGGGTCTGGATATTGTACCATGGTTGTGGTTGTGCAGGTTGTGGTGGTGCAGGTTGTGGGAGTGTGGGGTAGGGTGAGGCTGGTTGTTGTGCAGAGTCAGCAGCTGGGTAGTGGCGTGGCCCGTGATGGTGCCACATGGGGCCTCCCACCCCCACTATCACACCACTGCCTGCTCCATCACTCACATCATTCATACCCTCGTTACAATATCGTCATCTTCACTATCAGGTCGTGGTGTAGGCCCTGGATGTGCTCCCAGAGTTTCTCCTTCCCCTTGGAACAACATATGAAACACTACCAGAACCGCATGCTACATGTACATACTGCTGCTTCACTGGGGAATTTTTCCACTCTCCCCTAGAACTTGCTTTCAATGACCTTGAAATCACTATCACTATCACTGCTAACATCTTGGGGTTGTACACGACCAAATAGTTTTCCTCTTTCGTCCTGGTACAGCGAACGTGAACGTGAAAAAAGCCGGCCCAGCACCAAGGTGGAAAATTGTGGGTCATCTGGGTTTTCATCACTAATTACGTTATCCTGGCACTTTTTCCGGTAACACTCACTTCAAAACCCTGGAATTCACTGTCACGACATTTCATCGCTGTTAGAGCTATCACTTGGAAAAAAACACCTCCAATCCGCCGAGGAGTGAGGAACTTCTTACCGAGAGGCATGGTGAAAATGGACAACAACAGGGTTTTCCCACAAGCACCGCTGGGTCCAGTTTTTTTTAGGGGGGGCCCACACCGCCACGAACCCCACCTTTTCCCATGGGGCCTCCCACCCTTTCCCCGTTGATTTGAAGCCGCTAGAATTTGTGCTAAAAAACGTCAAAAACATTGGCTCGTAAACTATTTATACGTCGGAAACAGTCAAAAGGTTAAATTTTGTCACATCCAGGCGTGCAGAAGTGTCCCACATTAGTGGGTCCTTTAAAAAAAAAATATGGACACATAGTCCCTTATGGAGCACCATTTTAAATTTGAGCATCAGTACACAAAAAACGGCAAACCCAACTCACTAATCCCATGTTTTAACATGATTTAAAGGGAAAGTGATTTTGCCCTGAGTTTAGTGACTTTGAGATGGTGGGGTTGCAAGTGATTGAGGAATTCAGATAACCTCAGTGATAGCCGTTAAACTTTTTCATTTTTTGTACCATGGTGTGGCATCCTGTGGAATGTCTTGTCACTTTGTTAGTGTGTGCTCAACATTGAGGGAAAGGGAGGATGAGTGTGAGGGGAAAAGAGGGAGATTGGTGGAATATGAAGTAAAAAAGGGCAGTCAGGGAAAAAAATTTGGCACATGAAAGGTTTGTCAGTGTAAAGCAATAACAGAGGGAAAGTATACTGAAATAACAGAGTAGTGAGGGTCGGTAAGGATGCTGAAAACAGTTAAGATTTTTAAGGACAGTGAGGCTTATTGGGCTATGTAGGAGAGAGGGAGAAAAATTTTCCAAAAAAGGGGCCCTTAGACAGGAGTATGGGGAAACCATGGTTGTTGTATTTTTTAAAGAGGGGGTTTGCAAGAAAAGTGAATGCCAGGAGAGGGGAAAAGGGGTGTGGGTTAAAAGATAAAGAATCAACACAAATAGGATTGTCACGCTGCTTTATTGCGGGTGACATCTTTGGGGTTTCTGAAAAAAGTTGCAAATTTTGGGGATGATTTGGGAAGGATGTAAAAAGAAATTAAAATGAACAAGGGAAAAAGCAAGATGATGAGGGCGTAAAAAATTTGGGAAGAAAGATTGGATATTTAGAGTGGAGGGGGAAGTATGGGGGAAATGAAATGTTCAGGTTTTTGGGGGTGGGCTTTTCAACAGATGGGTCTGTGAAGATGAGGTACCTTAAATACGGGGAAAAGGGGGTGGTGCATTGAGGAATCTGGGAGACAATAAAAATTATTCCTGAAGGGAAAAAGGAAAGTACAAGATTAATGAACCGATGCCTTATGGGGTGTTTAAACATGGGGTTTAATGTTTTCAGAAAGGGGAAGGGGTGGAGGCAGTGGGAATAACATTCTGGGGGCACTGTGTGGTGCAAATTTTGCAAGAATCATACCTTGGGTTAAGGAGGAGAGGGTTACTAAAAGTATTTTTTAGGTAGACACATATGCAACAGTTAGGTATTTTTTATTATGAAACGTTCCATAATAAAGATACCTAACTGTTGCATATGTGTCTTACCTAACAACCTGTCGTATTTTAATACCATTTTAATGTTCACTAAAAGTTTTCCCTCCAGAGGATTGTTGGGGTGGTGCAAAACATTTAGAGAGGCTGGAACAAAATAGGGTGATTTGGGGAGTATATATAAATCTGTAGGGGAGAGAAGGCAGGAAGGGTCGTTCTGGGAAAGGTTTGGGGGGAGTGAGAAAAGCGGGTTTTGTGTGCAAGGGCTTGGACACCCACAAGGTGTGTGTGGTGTGTGTGTTTTGGTGTGTGTGTGTTGTGTGTGTGTGTGTGTGTGTGTGTGTGTGTGTGTGCGTGTGGTGTGTGTGTGTGTGTGTGTGTTTTCGCTTGTGTGTGTGTGTGTGTGTGTGGTGTGGTGTGTGTGTGTGTGTGTGTGTGTGTGTTGCACGTGTGTGTGTGCATGTGTGTGTGTGCACGTGTGTGTGCACGTGTGGGGTGTGCATGTTGTGCACGTGTGTGTGTGTGTGCACATGTGTGGGGTGCGTGTGCACAGGGTGTGTGTGCGCACTGTGTGTTTTCATGTGTGTGTGCACGGTGTGCGTGTGCACGTGCGTGGGGTGTGCCCGCACATGTGTGTGTGCACGTGTTGTGTACACTCACCTAATTGTGGTTGCTGGGGTTGAGACTCAGCTCCTGGCCCCACCTCTTCACTGATCTTTTACTAGGTCCTCTCCCCTCTCGCTCCCTGAGCTTTGTCATACCTTGTCTTAAAGCATGTAGGTTCCTGCCTCCACTACATCACTTGCTAGGCTATTCCACTTCCGTTTACTCTATGATTGAAGAAATACTTCCTAACATCCCTGTGACTCCCTTGGAGTCTTCAGCTTTCAATTGTGGAAACCCCTGTTTCTGTGTCCCCTCTCTGGGAAAATCCTGTCTCTATCCATCTTATCTATTCCACGCAGTATTTTGTATGTCGTTATCATGTCTCCCCTTTTACCCTTCTGTCCTCCAGTGTCCCAGTCCGATTTCCCTCAACCTTTCTTCATAGGGCATTTCCCTGAGCTCCGGAACTAGCTTTGTTGGGAAATCTTTGTACTTTCTCTAATTTCTTGATGTGCTTGACCAGGTGTGGGCTCCAAACTGGTGCTGCATGACTCCAGTATGGGCCCTTTACATACACAGGTACAGTGGGCTTGAACAATTCCTTACAAAGGTTGTGTGTGTGTAGGTTGGTAGTAAAGGCAGGCAACTGTTTTTGGGACCTGATGGGCTGTTGGAGTGTGAGCATGGTAACATTTTGTGAAAGAATTCAGGAAGACTTTCTTAGCCAGACTTGAGTCCTGGAGGTGGGAAGTACAGTGTCTGTACTCTAAAGGAGGGGTTTGGGATATTTGCTGTTTGGAGGAATATCTGAACTGTAGTATCTATGCACCTCTGGCAAAACAGTGATAGTGTGAATGATGCTGAAAGTTTTTCTTTTTCAAGTCACCCTACCTTGGTGAAGATGGCCTGTGTGTGTGTGTGTTTGTGTACGTGTGTGTGTATGTGTAGGCGTAGGATGCCTCCATAGACACCTACCTGGGATGATCTCCATTCCTTTCCACTATTGTATTCTTGAAAAAAAGTGTTTTGCTTGTAACACAAAAGGCCTAGATCTGTCACTGAACTTCCCCATGTGATTGTTTTGCACTCAACTATATGACTTATGACTAGAGCAGTGCAGTAGGCCTAGGCAGGTCCTACTCCAATTCAACCTCCCTTTCTCATATATTTGTCCAACCTATTTTTAAACCTTCCCAAGGCTTAGGTTCAATGATCAAAGGCAGGCCAGCAGACAGGCAGGCTGGTATGCATACATACATGGAGTGTAGGGCACAGGAGGGCAATGCAGGGTAGGGCAGACCAGGTTAGGCTAAGCCAAGCAGGGCATACTCACATCCATGTTTCTCTGGTAAGATTAGTCAAGAAATGTAGATTTAAATCTTTGAGGGCCTGTCTTGTAGTTCTACACCTTGTCCACAGGGTCCAAGAATTTAAAAAAAAAATTATTTCTTCTTATGAAATGGTAGAGAATCTTTTCTGAAGGTATAAAACAAAAAGTACAAAATTTGATGGAAAATTGATGAAATTATGCTATTGCGAATTTTGCTGCATCAGCTATATTTATGCATCAGCGATTTTGCCCACTTTGACTTCTATTTTAGGTCAATTACATTATTCCAGTCAACCAAATTTTTAGCTATTTTGCTAGTATCACTTCTATTTTATCGATTGAACACAAGAAACTGCCCAATTGTCTTATTTCAACTACCCAATAAAGTGATCAGAAATTAATAATTTGGGAAATTTCACACAAAGTTCAAAATAATCCATTTTCAATATGGGGTTCAGAATAAACAATGCAGGCATTCCTGGCACTAAAATAACATTTCCTTTGTTTATTAGTTACATTTCCAGGCTTTACATATGAAATTCTAGTTTGATTTTTTATTCACAAAGGATTTTATCCACACCAAAAAATAGAAGATTTACTGTTATGCAATATTGTAATAATTGTATAAAGAATATCAGCACATTCGTGAATGTACAGTGCTAGCCACCACATTATGCCGGGTGAACGCCCTGGCATAATGCCATGATGAAAAATCAAAGGCCTACCATACAGGGGGGTCTTTTTTCATCAGCGAATTCTGCCGAGTAGTAGCTGTTAGCATGATGTTACAGCCTGCCGCCACACTCCACAGTGACTCCTCAGTGCTCACGTGGCTGCCTTGGTGAGAGGAAGTGCTGCACTTTTGTCTCTCATCCGGCCCATCTTTTGTCCGGTGTTCCCTTTGGTTTTGGGGCTATACATGTTTAATTATGGGTAAAAAGGAAGTCTTTAACACCTGAAACTATAGCTCAAATCATAGAGCTTCACAAAGCTGGGCACCAAACAAAAGAAATAGTGAGAATGTTGGTGTTGTGAGTGTTCAGTTGGCAAACTGGGTGCTGCGTTTCAAGGCTGGTGGCAGTGTCGAGTTATCGTCTGCCAAACCTTGGCCTGGTTCCTCGAAGAAGACATCTGTTCGTATCTTAACTGTGTTAAAGAAGCAGTTAGAGTGTACACCTAAGATAACTGCTAGAGAATTGAAAGAAAAGAACCCACATCTTCTCAGAGGTGTTTGTAAGAACTGTTAACAGATGTGTGTCAGAACTGGGCTACAGTAGTCACTGCCAGGTCAAGAAACTGATCCTCTCCAAGCCACAGAAAAAATGTAGGCTGGATTATGCAAAGAGATATCTCACTGGAATCCTCACCAGTGGTCTGAAGTACCATGGGGACGTGTACTGGCCTAGAAGTAGTGACCTGCTAGACCAGGGGTGGGCAACCTTTAGCATGCATCCCAAATCTGGCATGCCAACGACTTCTTTCCGGCACGCTAATCTCTGGTCTCATCTCAAAAAACACAAAAAAATTGCGACATTTATCACGTATGCTTTCAAAGAAAAGTGGAGAAATAGTCCCCATGTGTTTCCAGAGTTTTTGTATCAAAGATATAGCCTACTTTGCCATGCACACTTAAAAAGGTTGCCCACCCCTGCGCTAGACCCATGCTGCACCTGTGGAACCACCAAACACCCAGACTCGCTCATGGTTTGGGGGTGTTTCAGTGCTCGAGTATTGGTGAACATATTGTGCTTCCCAAAAAACCAGTAAGAACCTGTGTTATTACCTGGTGGTAGAGGGTGGTAGTGGTTGTGATGGTGGTAGAGGGTGGTAGAGGATAGTAATGATGGTGGTAGAGGGTGGTAGTGATGATGGTAGAGGGTGGTAGTGATGGTGGTAGAGTGTGGTTGTGATGGTGGTAGAGGGTGGTAGTGATGGTGGTAGTGGTTGTGATGATAGTAGAGGGTCGTAGTGGTTGTGATGGTGGTAGAGGGTGGTATGGTTGTGATGAGGTAGAGGGTGGTAGTGATGGTGGTAGAGGGTAGTAGGTGGAGTGGTTGTGATGGTAGTAGAGGGTGGTAGTGGTTGTAATGGTGGTAAAGGGTGGTAGAGGGTGGTAGTGATGGTGGTAGAGGTAACCTCTCCCTCTCTCCCTTCTTTGCCGTCTTCCATACGCCAACAAGAGTCTTCAATAAAGGTAAAAGTGATTTAAATGTTCATTTATTCATTTCATTAGTGCTCTGTGTTTATTTCTCATTGTTTTCTGTATATAAAACAATAGTTGTTCTCTGTAAAATGTATTTTTTGTTAATATTTTTGGGCGTCTGGAATGGATTAATTGGATTTGCATTATTTCTTATGGGAAATATTGCTTCAGTTTTCGTCGGACTCTCTGAGACGAATTAAAGATGAAAACCGAGGTTCCACTGTATTTGTATATTTAAAGTGGAATCTTATTACTGAGTGTGGATGATACCTTGATGCACCAAAAAAGTAGGAATTTGGTGTGTGGTAGGCCTTCACTCTGCCAAAATTTCAACCTTTCAAAAGTAGTATCCTATTTTTTTTCTCTCTCTCTCTCTCTCTCTCTCTCTCTCTGAAAACTTTTGGTCCTAAAATCTTGAATTATACACACTTTGGTTATGTAGATGTGCATGGGAGAGAGTGAACCACATTTTCTGTCATTGTTTAGACAATGTATTGAATCTTAACACAATATGGCAATACTAGATAAGAGTTTGTCAGTGTTTAGTGTAACTATGAGACAGTTTATATAGTTTTTATGATGTTGCTTCAAGGTCTGCAGCATTACATAAAAAATGAAATGTATAGTACATCTAACAAAATTATTAAATAATGATTTGAAATTTATGAAGCATATGACAGAGGTAATCATTTTGTCTCAACAGTTCTGGATGGGACTCAGAAGGAGGCTATGAACCTGCTCCTCCAGTACCAGAGAAACGCTTTGATCTGGAAGAGGAGTCGTGTCTGTGCTGGTCCTCCAGACAGTGGTCTGATGACAACTTCAATTACTTCTGCATCCTCGGGTAAGGGGCCATCCTCACCGCGATCACCACATCTCAATGCTAGATCGTCTATGACTGGGTCTGTACCCTCACCAACTTCCCCGCACAGCATAGGAACTGTCTCAGATCGGCCACCATCTACAGAAATTCAGGCAGCCTTGGCTATCTCAGGACGAACACCAGCCAATGAAGAGATGCCATACATGACTCCTCCATTACATCATGTAAGTTTAAAAATAACTTTTCTGCAAAAAAAGTCTCTAGGCATTGTACCCTGCTAGAAAGTCTCTCTAGGCTTGTACTCGACTAGAAACGTTTCTCGGCTTGTATTGTACTAGAAAGTCTCTAGGCTTGTACTCTGCTAGAAAGTCTGTCGTATATTCAGTGGTGTATCTATACTATTAATTTCCAGTGTTTAAATCCTTTCATTGTTACAAGGTTTAATTCTGCACACCACAGTGAAATTCAGATTGCAATATTATTTAGTTGATATCTTATGCAGGCTTGTTTACCGCTTGTGAGTACAATGTACTCTGCAGTATTTTCTGTACAGTATTGACAGTGGAGATTTTTTTTTTTCAACACGTTGGCTGTCTCCCACCGAAGCAGGGCGACCCCCCCCCCCCAAAAAAAAAAAAAAAAAACACTTTCACCATCATTCACACATAATCACTGTATTTGCAGAGGTACCCAGATATGACAGTTCAGATGCCAGTATCCCAAACCCCTCCTTTTAAAGTGGAAGTATTGTACTTCCCACCTCCAGGACTCAAATCTGGCTAACCAGTTTCCCTGATCCCCTTCACAAAACATTACCCTGCTCACACTCCAACAGCTCATTATGTCCCAAAAAACATTAGTCCCCTTTCACTCCCAAACCACCCTCAACATGGGGGTAAATGTAAAAATACCATCAGGAGGAAAAATAAATGCAAATCAGTAAATGTGACCCGTATTACTACGTTTTGCCCACACGTGGGGTGACTTGATAAAACCGCTGTGTTGAAAACATAGTAAGTATAGAAACACATATACTGCATTTGTGTATTTTTCCACATACCCAAAAGCAATGCAAATTTGTGGCATACATTTTTTTAAGGGACACCACACTGACGTAGTACCTTTGGCACGCATTGACAGGGGTAATTTTGGCACTGCCTACAATGAAAACTTTGGTTACACTACAGCGAAACTGGCACTCCGACGTGGTAATGGGCACGCAAAAACAATGATATTTTGGGGCCTGCACTGACAGTGATAATTTTGGGCACTCCCTAAAAATGTTTTAAACTTTGGTAATGCACTGAAAATGTAACGTTTTTGGAGTTCATTAATCTTTAATTTGCTGAAAAAAACTGCAAGTCTCATCTTACCCAAAAAAAAGTCTTTTTAAAGGGGGTTATAAATTGTTATTAATAAAAAGTGTATTAGCCAATTTTCTTAGTGTGATAATATGTTTTCCCTTTAAATCACAGAAGATAAACTGTGTGTGCGTGTTTCTTCACGGTGTGTGTGCGTCATGCAGGGTGTTGCATGCTGCGGTGCATGTGTGTGGTGGGGTTTTTTTTTTTTTATTACACAGGATTTTACAAGGTTGGTTTTAAGGGATTCAACTTTATTTAAAAAGTAAGAGCTTAAAAAAACCCAAAAGACATTACCATCCTCTTTCCCTCAAGGGAAAGGTTTCTTTTGCTGCGGGGGGCTTTGAATGAATATTGGGGCCGTCCCAATTCTTGAAAACAAGCCTGAATGCCTTCCATTGCCGGCATGTATGACCTGTACGGTTTTGTGCCCCCCATGCCTGAATCTAAATCCCTCGTCTGATCGTCTTTGACACATAAATTTTTTTCCTTTCTTTAGCACAAGTGGTTTAAAAGAAATTTGAGTGAAAGTGAAGTGCCATATAATAAAATTAAATAAGGAAAACATTTTAAATTTGTTTTTTCAAGTTTTTGTAATTTTGTTAGATTATTTTCTGCAGTATGAGTTATGTTTTAAAACTGATGTACTATTTATATTTTTTTTTTTTTGGGGAAGCGACGAAAGGAAGTGCTGCATACACAGTTTTTTTTTTTTTAGACTTAGCTGTCAATAATTTCGAAACATTATTAGCAATATTTCCCATAAAAATAATGAAAATCCCCAAAAATCCATTTCAGACCCCAAAAATATTAGCAAAAAAACTTTTATAAAAAAAACATAGTTTTACATACAGACTAGGCATATAATGCGGGTTTCACTGATTGTGAAAAAAAGTTTTTAATTTCTTTGAAATAATTTCACATGATGATACTTATTTTTCCATACAGGCAGGGTAGAAACATCACAGCAAACTTCAGTGGGGACCTCAGGACTCGAGGTACACAGTATCAGTGTTCGGGGGAACCTCTGGGAGCCATTAAAGGCACGACACAAGGGTCCCACCCCAGCCACAGTGCCCCTCAGCCCCTCAAGGAAAAGGGTATTGTCAGATAGGACTCCTTTAAAAAATTTTCAGGGGCTATTTTTTTTCCGTTTATGCTTCTTTTAAACTTTTGTATTAATACGTTAATCTTGATTTTCAAACAGTTAATTAAACCCCCGGCTAAACTGATTCCCGCTGTTCCTCTGAAAGCTTAACTTGCAACTCTCAAGCACCATACATCCCCAAAAGTTTGCTTAACCCTTTTAGGGGCCCAGCCCCCGAGACTTTTTCTCAGGGTTTTTCCAAATTTTTAAAAAAAAAAAAAATTTTTTTTCTTATGAAAAAGGGCGAGAACTTTTCCCGATCATAATGCACCAAAAATACAAATTTTATGAAAAAATTAGGAAAATTTATGCTTTTCAAAAGAATTTTGGTCTCGACGATGTTTACCATCGGCGATTTTGCCCCCCTTTGAGCTCTATTTTGGCCAATTCCGGTGTACTAGTCGACAAAATCATAACTACATGAAATTTTGCTAGAACTCCATTTTTTCTATCGAATGAGTTACAAGAAACCACCCATTTACCGATTTCAACTATCCAATAAATGGTCAGAATTTAGCAATTTTGCCAATTTCACACAAACTTAAAAAGATGCCAATTTCCGAATAGGGTCCAGAATAAACAAGAAAGACATTCCTGGCATTAAAATAACAATTCTCTGTTCGTTAGTCACATCCCAGGCCCCTCTTATATTTCTTTGGCTTTCCACTTTGAATTTTTATTCTTACAAAAAATAGAAGATTTACTGTTATGAAAGACTCTGCAGTAGTGTAGAAATGGTAAAAATTTATATCAGCGCCCCTTGTGAAAGAATATTAGAACTCACCAGTTGACATGTATTGGACGCTTAGCATGATTTGTTTACTTTTGAACTTTGATAAAAATCGAACATTTCTGCTACTTTGACTCAATTTCAAGGTACATTTTCATTGTAAAACCCCGTCAAAAATCATCTAAATTTTCTGTAATATGTCTTCCATTCTATAAAATGAGACCAGGAAAACTAGAATACAACAATAAATACCATACGAAAATGCAGTGCAAAGTCGTTGTTTTAATCCAAAAACACGGTCAAAGTTTTTTTTTTCTCTTTATGCACTGTGTGCTGCAGGATTTTGTTTTATACTGTGCACACTGACCACGAGGGCCATTCTTTCATATGTAGGCCTACCCGCTTTCACTAGATTTGGGGGGCGCTAGAATTTAGGGGGACTAGTATGTCCCAAAACCCTGGGGCATAAGCTGTACTAGTACGACCGAAACCCTGAAAGGGTTAAAAATTAAAATTGTTATGTCTTTTGTTTACTGAAATTGGATTTGTCACATAAATACACAAGTAACCTGCACATAGGAAAGGAGAAGCCAACAAAGATGTTTTTTGGGGGCCGTCTTGGACCATTTACAAAGTTACACAGGACCATTTAGGTCCAAGATGAAAACCCAAAAAATTGGGCGTGGCTTTCTTGTATGTGCAGGGTTAATTGTGTATTGTTCTAGTCAAGGTATTGTGCCTTTTGTTTTTTGTGTTTTCATAAATGGCTATTACATAAATTAACTGCGGTTTCAGAGAAATGGTAAAATTGTCATTACAAAAATTAACATTTTCACTTAAGGTCATTCAGTGTCAAGTGGTCTGATTTTAGAAAAATGCCCCACCTCACCATCATGGATTTTGATAAAACTTGGTGTTTCTGAATCTTGCATGTCTAAAACTAAGTTTGGTAAAGTTTTTTTTTTTTTTTTATCTGCAATGAAATTGTTGCCAAGATAGAACCCTTTGTTTGACACCATTCCACAGCCGGTACCATAACCCTATGAAATTTCGGCAGTTTTGAATCAAAATAATTTCTTATTCTTTCTACCAAAATAAATGAAACTGTTGTCTTACACAACTTTTTATGCTTAATCCAATGGAACTAATATGGATATGGATTTACATTTTTTTTTAAATTGACATGCTGATTGAGCCTCAAGGGGGGCAAAAATATCAATGTGTCAAAAAAAATTTTTAAAGTTTAGTCTTCTCTGGGTTTATGTAATAATAAAGATAACCCTGTGAAATTTCGTTTACGTTTTGTGACATAACCTTGTTTACAAGTACAGTGGACCCCCGCATAACAATTACCTCCGAATCGACCAATTTGTAAGGTATTTTAGTAAGTGTTTGTACTGTATGTTTGGTTGAAAACTAAATTTTCAAAAAACTTTAAAAACGGGCCAAATCGTCTAGTGCTCCCTCACTTAGCAATATTGCTCGTGCTGCCGACGCCCCGCTCAAGGCAGGAGAAATATCAGAGCTGGAATAAATACAGAGAACTTACTGGACTCCACAATTGAGCCAGTAAAGCACCTAACGACTGGGAACGCCTTCAGCTCTTGAACATGTAAATTCATTGGAGCGGAGGAGAGAGGTAACAGATAATATATATCGGATGGATACTTTTTAGCGAGGACATGCTTGCGGTCCCAAAATCTGCATGCTGCCATAACAACATACTGAGTGAGAGATATGGGAGGAAGTGTAAAATAAAATCCAGTGAGGAGCAGGGTGTAGTGGGGACAATAAGGGAACACTGATCAACATCTTGGGACCCAGACTTTTCAACATCTTACCAGAAGATATCAGAAGGGACACTCTGGAACAAGTGTATAAGCCTTCAAGAGGAAACTAGACAAGATTCATCACCACGTGCCAGATCAACCAGGCTGTGATGGATAAGTGGGGCAGTGGCCCTCCAGCAGCAACAGCTGGTTGACCAAGCAAGCAACAGATGAACCTGG